CCAGGCAAGCATGCTACTGCTTGAGCCACATGCCCAGCCCAGCCAACTCCCCTTCTCAGCACTGGACAGATCATCTCTGCAAACAGTAGACATTTACACACCATCCCACTCAACCACTGCTTCGCAAACATCCTTCTCAACAGCACACGACACATTCTCCATTTATCCTCAAAATAAATCTCCATAAATTTAATAAGAATGAAATCCATAGCAGGGAGAACAACTGTCAGTTACAAAGCATGGGAATTCTCCAGCATATTCCTTCAAAACCAATGGGTCATTGAAGTAATCAAAACATTGTCATGTATGTAAGAAATAAGAAAAATAAATAACAATAAAAAAAGTGTAAAATGCCTGCAGACCAATGAAAAGGGCCACAAAAGATATTCAAACCTGGGGATACAGCAAAACAATTCTAGCTGGGAAGTACTCAGCAAGAAATAGCTTCATTAGGAAAATAAATCTCGAATAAATGGCCCAATATTGCATCTCAAGGGACTGGAAAATATAAGGGTGGGTCATGCTTCAGTTAGTAAATTTGAGAGAAGGAATAAAATCATAAAACTTCTCAAGTATCTGGGATCTCAGGAATGTGCCACTGCAATTGGCTTTTCATACTTGTTTGTTATTGTTTTGGGAACCAGGCAGTGAACCCAAGGGTGCAACACCAGTGAGACCCATTCGCAGGTAAGATTTTGAAATAGGGTCTCACAAACTTGCTTACAACCTCACTAAGTTGCTGAGGCTGGCTTTGTACTCACCATCCTCCTGCCTGACCCCCGAGCTGCTGGAACTACAGCTGAGCAACCAACAGCAAGCCAGATTTTCCAGTTTTTTTCTGAAGAGAATCTTTCAGAACATCAATTTGACCCACCTGTCCAGACCAATTAAAGAATGCATTCCATTGTTTTCATGAGGGTGGTGGTTCTTTCTTTTTGAATATTTCTAACAGAGGGACAGCTCTCTTCCAATTAAACCTTTCCAATGTGGTCACATCATTTTTGGATTTATTTGTTTACTTACCTCTGTGAATCTTTGAATGGAACTCAGGCCCTTCCACATGCTAGCAAGTGCTCCACCACTGAGAAATGTCCCCAGCTCCCTGAGTTAGCTTTGATAAAGTTAACTCATTTCTCTAAAATATCATGGGTTCTGGGTTTCTAAATTGTGAAGGTAAAATTGGCCAGTGTTCCAGAAGGGGCTGCATAGTTTTTGGATACAGGTGCACAATGTACGCTGCATATTTCAGAGGCCAAGGAGTGAAACCCAGTTGCTACTTCCTGACCCGGCCACCCTTACAAACCAGGTCCTGTTTGTTATAACATTCTACAATTGTGTGCTCGCTCACAGCACAAATGAACCTAGAGTCAAAAGATAAGTAACTCAAAGAGAGGTGAGTGCTTTATTTCCATGTATCTGAGAAAACAAAGTGCCCTCACAATCATTCCAGTGTTCAAGGGGTCTGGAGGCACCCAAATATCTCCAAGTCCCTTTTTATTCATGATAACTCTTAGAAGAACACATGATGATAGATCTCATTATGCAGATCTTCCTTGACTTTATTTGATCCTAGAATCCAACAAAATGAATGCCGTTCAGAACCTTCCACCTGCCCCACATGTGCAAGCTAGACTTAGAGCTGGAGAAAAGGAAGTGCCACAAAGAGGGAGCAAGGCACAAAGATCACTCTGTGGGTGACAGAGAGGCCAGCTGTGCTTCGCCCAGACTCTGCTACCAGTTCCAAGAGTGAGCTGCAGTCTGCTTACAAATCAAAGTGTGTTCCAGTTCACTATGTGTGGAGAATTATTCAAGCCATAATTAAAACATGTCCACAGGCAGCTTTAGAATACCTCAAATGAAGACTAGGTGGACTTTGTTCTCATTCTTGGATGGGAAACTAAGGTGGCCGCACAACCCCATCAGCCAAGTCCTCAGTGGAGGGAAGTGTTAGAGAAAGATCTCTCAGTTATGTGCTACCTGCCCCCCTGATTAGAGCTTGTAATTGATTCAGTTTCATTTTGAAATATTTACAAGTGTTATCTACATATATGATTCCACTATTTTGCTGAAATGAAATTTGGGTACCTTCAAGGGGCACCAAAGGTTTAACTGTGGACAGACTTCCTAGGTAGATGACAGGCAAGGTTTGGTGAGCCTCAGAGACTCTGATCAATGTGCAGCATGAACACCTTCTGCAGCACTGGGAGTGGGACAATGGGGCCTTTCTTATGCACAGATGCCCTTGCTCAGCACACCCAGAGACCAGGACCTGAGTTTTCTGGGTCTACATGAAGACCCATGAGGAAGAACCAGCATTGAATGTCTGCGTGGCACTGAAGTCCACTGAGAAGAGGTTTTCTTGCAATTTCTTATGTTCAATGCCTAGATAGAATGTTCCAATCCACCCGTGTGAACCTGCATTTGTTAAGCCACAGAGTAGCCACACATTATGACCAGATTTCAGTTTTATACCTTTTCTTCCTGGGGCTGAACCTCATTGTTCATCAAGTACCCCATGCCTTTTTTCTCCATCAGCACCTGGAGAATCCCAAGGTTTTATTAGAAAGCCACGTAAATCCAGTGCAGATGTGGCAGAAGACAAACCTTGAGATAATGTTCATTTCTAAAAATTTATGGACCAGCCATGAAAACATGTAGCATCTTCCTGTGCCCATTAAGCCTGAATCCCATTCTAGATATCCAGGTCCCTATGTATGTCTCTATAAAGACACATGTCCTGAAAGTCCTAACCTCATAGGGCATCCCTCCAATGGAGGCCCCTGCTGTACTTTCCTTTTCCCATCCACTCTTTAGGCAATGCCTGAAATGGTGGGCTCTGTGTTCCCTCTAAGGTGACCTTACATCCTGGTTATATCTACAATTGCCTAGAAGTACACTTTTGAAACACACTCAACTAGGCAGCTGTTGGACAGGAGCAGTGAATGAGGCCCTGGTTATACAGGAACTTGAAGCCACAATGACGACAGGGGACAATACAGAACACAAGCATGTTTGGCTGCCTAAAATCCCTCACTGTTGCTGTCAGCTCAGCACAAAGTTGGGAACATATCCCGGGGTGGATGCTACCCCAGGAATCATAGCTCTCCAGAGGGGCAGGGTAGAGCTCTATGCTCAACTGGCTCAGCCTGGCAGTGTGAAGCAGCAGATCCCTCAGGGTTGACATAGAGAGGGAGTTCCAATGGATGCTCAAGATCACAAGCTGGGAGCATCGATCAGGGCAGAAAAGAGGGCTTGGAGCTCGGAATCAGTGATCCCACAAGCTGCCAAGTCCAGGATGTTCAGTGTGGTTGCAGGGCTGTCCAGTAGGATTCGGAGGGGCTCCAGACTGAAATCAGTCAGTTTGATGCCCCTCAGTTCCAGGTGTCTGAGCTGTCTGGCGTTTGGATATTGGGAAAGGTAATTCCAGTCAGAATCTGACAGTGGGCAGTTTGTTATTGAGAGGGTCTTCAGGGGGGTCTTCAGGTGCCTAATGAAAAAACCAGACAGTTAGTTCTGAGGAGCAATGTCAAGGAGAAAGAAGACAAATTGGCCCAAAACCAAAGTCACCCTGGTGATCCGACAATGGTCCACAATTAGAATGCTTCCTTTTGCAAAATCTGGTCATTCACATCACCCCATGTCAGGGAGAGCCTTTCACCACATCTCCTGTTAACAAATGAGTCCACATATCGTGTCCCCTCCTAACTTACAGGTCTGGCCACAGGAGGTCATGGGGAGTCATGTATGAAGGACAAATTTGGGCAGGATGTAACAAAATCCACTGGGGTAAACACTCTTAGAGGCACACATCCTATAGCCACAGCAAGATTTCCACTTTGGCTTCTGACCCTTACACCCAACATCACTACCTGGAATTCAGAACAGCCTTCCTCAGGTGGGTATAGAGGCAGGATCTCCGCTCCCAGCTGGGGAGCACAGAGCTTCCCTGTTGACAGGTGTCACTGTGGGGGTTTCCCTCCTTCCAAACCCTCTTCTCTACCTGTTTTCCACCACCTTTGCTGGACAGGCCTCCCATGGACAGAACATCAATCCCATCCCTAGCTCCTCTCCCTCCATACTGGATTTCCAGTATGGTGGCACTTCCCAGACTATTGACACTCGTTTAGGAGTCTGCTCAAACACAAAAAATCGAACTAGCTTCAGGATCCAATAGGAACAAAAGGATGGGTTATTTACATTCCAGTGTCTTATTATCCATGAGAGTGTCAGTGGCTGGTAGGTGCAAATTTCCTTTAACTGGTCTGCGGAGGGTGCTCACCCCCCCCTTACTCACCTCAGCACCTGTTCCAGGTGGTCCTCAAGGAGGAAGACATCATTGGCACAGAACTTCCACAGGCAGTCCATCCTGAGAAACTGCGAGGTGACCTGGGCAAGCAGCTGCTTCTGCTCCTCTTGGGAGGTGTAGGCAGGCACATAGACCTGGGAGACAAGAAGCTTCCTCAGGTTCCTTATCTGGCCCAAGAAAGGAGCACAAGCAGCCAAAATAGAGGGCACCCTGGCGCAGTGTACTTCAACCTTCTGGACAGAGTCCAGCTGCAGCAGTCTCAGGACCTTCCTGGTGTGACCAGTGGGTTTCCCAAAGATCTTCAGCTTATTGCAACACAGGTGCAGCCTGTCCCTTCTCTCTGTGACCCACAGGAACAAGTGGGTCAGTAATTCATCCAGGGGTCTTTTTCTGAGGTTCAAGTCTATGAAAACCTTGAAGGGTGACTTAGCTTCCATTGCTGGACCAAGTTTCAATGTTTGATTATTCTTAATGTCCTCTGGTGAGAAGGCATCAACCAGGGCTCCAGACCACATCCTCCTGAAGTTCTGGGAAACATTCCGCAGATCTAGCACCTGCAGTTTCCACCTCCTGCGGGGACGACAGCAGAGTGTAGGCCATGAGGCCCCTTCCTTCACCTCTAAGCTGCTACCCCCTGCTCCACCTCTTTCTTCTGTCTCACTTTTCTTCATCCACTTCCCTCCAATCCAGCCTGGTGCCCCCACTTGTACAGACTGAGGCAGGGGAAAGTACAGCCTCATTAATAGGTAACCACAATTGCCAAAAGCACCTCCATAACTGGAAGCCTTTCCCAGATTGGGCTTAGCATGGCCAAGGCCTCTCCACCCCTCATTGCTGGCAGCACAGGAAGCCTGTGGTGCACAATTCAGCACCCACTCTCCCTGCCTATACCCATCCCTTCCCTGGGACCCAGGGTGCTCCCTTCCAGGCCACCTAGGTCCTCCTCACCTTTGGCAATCCTGATGGCCAAGCAGGATGTCTAGCCCATCAAGGGCCACTTGGATCATCTCAAGCTGTGGCTTCCTCATCAGGGCCCCTGGGGCAGACGGGTGAAGGGGCAGGCTTGCACCATTTTCTTCATTACCTCAGTTTGTCCCCTGCTGAAGGCCTCCACAAAGAGTGGTGGGAAGAGCTCTATGGGCAGCTCCTACAGATCCAGGACAGCCCTTAACTTGTTGCTCAGCAGGTTGCACCCTGCCAGCTTCAGCAGCATGGGTGTGGACCGGATGCTCATCCTGGGGAGAATGAATGAAGAAAAATCCTGGAAAATGGTCCAGGGAAAAGGTCACTATTCCATCCATTGCCAGCCTCTGGGAAGGGGGTACTGGGAAGTCTACAAGCACACCTCACCCTTATTGGGGAAAGCTTTGGATTATTATTTTGTTCTTTTAAAAGGGGAATTGGAGTGTCACGTGGCCTAAACAGTAGGCTCCTAGATTCAACAACTATATGGCTGGAAATAGACTTGCCCTCATATGGATGACATTCATTTTAATTTTTTTATAAAATTAGCATGTATAAAACATGGACTCATGTTATAAAACACTTGGTAATTAAAACAGAGTCTCATGGATGTCTGTTACACATGTGAGATTCTGCCACCTTAGGGGGATGTTGAAGAGAACAAACAGATCAGAACAGAGTCTGTGAACTGTACCATGAGATCATTTGAAGCTTTTGGTTTAATTTGTTTAAACAAATTATAAAAGTACAAAACCACTTAGGCCATACAGTATACTCTTTTAGGGGCTGATATTGGCACTGAATTTAGGACACTAAACCACTGAGCCACTTCCCTAACCCTATTTTGTATTTGAGATGGAGACAGGGTCTTACTGATTTGTGTAGCATTTCGTGTTCTGAGGCTGGCTTTGGACTCTAGTCCTACTGCCTCTTCAACCTCTTGAGTTGGTGGGATTATTTGTGTTTGCCACCATACCCAGCAAAAGAGTATAATTTATAGGCACATAATATAAATATTTCCATCATCAGAAAATAAAATTGCAATCAATTAGAATAAAATAGGAATCCAATCTCCTTGGTGAAGAAAGTGGCTGGGGCTCGAACTGGGCTTGATCCTCAGCAGCACATAAAAATTAATAAATAGTGACCTGGGGATATACCTCTGTTATTAGAGTGCTCTCCTCACATGTACAAGGCCCTTGGTTCAATCACCAGATAAATAAGTAGATAAATAAATAAATTATATTGTCCATATAAATCTTTAAAAACAAATATTAAACAAATCAATAAAAGTGGGGAATGTGAGCCTACACCTATAATCCCAGGGGCTCTGGAGACTGACACAGGAATATCAAGGGATTAAAGCCAGCCTCAGCAAGAGCAGGTGCTAAGCAACTCAGTGAGACCCTGTCTCTAAATAAAATACAAAACAGGGCTGGGGATCTGGCTCAGTGGTAGAGTGCTCCTGAGTTCAATACCCGATACCAAAAAAAAAAAAAAAAAAAGAGAGAGAAAAAGAAAAGAAAAGAATTTGAAAGTTACATAAACCAAGATGGAAATCCTAATATTTAGCATAAAGGCAAAACCACACTGAGAGGCAAAATCGAAGGCCTACATTGGTTCATGAGAAAAGACAGGAACAAAATTGTTCCTGAATCCACACAGGTGAGGATGGAAGGTGCTGTTCCTTTGGCCAGTGAGGGATTTACGGGATATGGTCAGGTGTGCAGGTGCTCTGAGCTTCCACAGGTCAGGATGTGTCTTTTTAGGCTGCAAGACGATTGTGCTTCTCTTCTGGCTCTGCAGAAGCTTTTATGGACCTCTCAGGCCACACCCCCACCTCCATTTGATTAATCAGTCTCCAATCAGAAAGCAGTATGTGATCACCTTCCCCTGTCTCCACCCACTTAATCATAATGAGATTTTCTTCCTTGGATTAGTTCATTGAATCTGATGGTCATGCAAGAGCGCAGAATCTGGAGATGTGAGAGTGAGTGATGCCTTTGTCCATGCACTCCCCACCATGAATTTAATTTTGTTCATATGTGATCCTCCTATTTCTACTGTGAGACTAAAAAGTATTTAATTTTTAATGTAAGAAAAACATTACTGGGAAATACCTTTCTACAGGGATCTTTGCCATATCAAAATTATTTGAAAAAAATAATTTTCAAAAATATTTTGAAAATTCCAGAGAGGAAACAGCTTTTTGAAGACAGTAGTGTCATCCACAAAGATTACAGAATGGAAACCATGTTTTCAACAGTCACACAAGTGTCAAGTTAACTTGTAGCAAATATAAGCAAACTAAGGGAGGTAGTGCACACAGGAAGGTAGAATCAGTCTTCTAGACATAGGGTAAAATTTCTTCTGTCTCTTTGTACTGGAGATGAAACCCATTGGCTCTCTTCCACTGAGCCACATCCCCATCCCTTTTTATTTTTTGCTTTTTTTAAAAGGCCGAGTCTCACTAAATTGCTTAGGTCCTCCCTCAGTTGCTGAGGCTGGCCTCAAACTTGCCATCCTCCTTCCTCAAGTCTCCTGAGTTGCTGTGATTACAGGCACAGGACACCATGCCCCATCAGACTTGAAAAAGTCTGAAAGCCACTGAGGCTGGAAGCAGTGGGCAACTTGGGATATTGGAGAGAAAGACACAGGATTGGACAGCAGGTGTCCTTGACTTCAGGGAGGCCACCAATTACAAAGCCTTCATTCAGAATCAGGGAATGCCCCAGGGCACATCTCCCAGAAAACCTTGGCCCCAGGCACTTTCCCCAGTATTTTGCCTGAGGGAAGAACACAAGCAAAGGAAAATTTCAAGAGTCTGAGTAAAATGAAATTCTAAAATTGAGGAAAAAGAGACAGAAAGAGATGGAATGCTTGAATGAGCCATGTGAGGTGAGCACTTCAGGGAACATGTAGAAGGAATGGTTTAATGGGTGTGGGTTAGACAATTGCATTTCTGTTTTTTCGTTCTCTTTGTTTTAGTCAGCTTTATGGTTCTGCGACTAAAAGACCCAAGGACAACAACTACAGAGGAGGAAGTGTTTATTTTTGTGGCTTGGTTTCAGTGGCCTCAATCCAGACTCAGCACCTCAAAGTTGAGCCTGAACATCATGGCAGAAGCATGTGGCAGAGGAAAGAGGCTCACATTACCAGAAAGAAGAGAGAGAGAGATGGGCACTTGCAGATACAAACTATACACCCATATTCACACCCCAAAGGTCAGCTTCCTCCATCCACAGTCCACCTGCCCCAATTATCTCCCAGTTAATTCCACCAGAGATCAATTCACTGGCTAGGTTATAGCTATAAACCAATCATTTATCTTCCAAAAACATTGTCACATGTGAGCTATTAAGAGACAGAGCATCTAATTCATGGTGGTCTATGGGGGTACTTGTTGAAAAATATCCCTGCTCACATCACATAATCATATATTAGTTGGACAATTACAATTGCATAAGGTAATATATTGTTTCTTTTTCACATAATACCTTGCCACAAATGAAACACATTTAATTTCATGTGTGTGTGCAGCTATATAGGATTAAGGCTACATCCAAAATTGTCTCTGGTTTTTATGCTCTACAATATTTGAAATCTACACTCTGATTTAATTTTAAGTTTCTCTGGATTTTGTCTGTGTGTCACCAGCTGAAAGGTTGACTTAATCCCACATCCCTGACTTCTCTAATTACCCCTAACTTGGTACACAAGGCAGGTCAAAATTACAATCAACCTACATCACAACAGACAGTGTCTCTCCAAATGACAAGTGTAGTCAAACATAATAGGGCAGAACTGCAGCACCCCCCAAAAAAGGTGAGTCAGAGCCCCATCCAGGAGGCAAAGGTAGACAGGGTGTCAAAGGCAGCTTTGAATCAATTATCACTGGCTCCACAGATTCAGTACCAAGGGTCGCCTCAGTTCAAGGACAATATGTGGTGTCTGGCCAGGTGTCCTCTTAGAAAACATGGTGAGTGAGGGTTTGGGTGGATTTTATGCACACCTGAATTTGGGACTGACTGGTTTGTGATAGTTCCTGCCATCAGGCAGGGCTGCCCGGGGACCTTCCCTTTCAAGCACCCTGCTTGCCCTTTATCAGGATTTGACACAGTTACTGCCTGTTGATTTGAGCACCATTTATGTTTCCCCCATGGGATGAAGATTTTTTCTATGGATGTATCACATAATGGTTAGGGTTTGATTCTATCTCAGTGCCAGGATAGACTTTCCCTGGTTTGACCAGACCCCATTGAAGGGAATTAATAGATGATTAGGGATCAGTGTTGAAACTTATTGAGCCACATTTGAACAACAAGGTGGGTTTGGAGGGAGTGGCTCTCAGAGTCCCTCCACCAGGAAATCACTATTAAATTCAATTATGCCTATTCATTAGGCCTTGGGTATCTCATCTCCAAGCTTTGGCCTTTAATATTCTATGAAGACTTAGACTTTTGCACAAATTTTATGAGTACTGGTGATCATTTTAAAAAAATATTTAGGCCCTAAATTTATGTATTTTTATTTTTTATTTTTTGACACTAGGGATTGAACCCAGGAGAGCTTTACCACTGAGCTACATCCTAAGCTTTTTTTCATTTTTATTCATTAATTATTTAGTTAATTAAATTTTTATGAATTAAGTTTGGGTACCAAGGTTTGAACCCAGGGGCACTACTCCATTGAGCTACATTCTGACCCA